TTACACTTAGAGTTTTAAAGTCATCCGAAACTTCTCTAAACCTACGGTTTGACTTTCTAGTAGTCAACACTTTACATGTAGGCTTCTCAACTCTTTCAAAGACCGCCAATTTCATTCACACCTACAGTTTGACTTTCAAGTAGTCAAACCTTTAAAGTAATCTGAAACTCCTCTAAACCTATACGTTGATTTTGTCGATTAACTACTTCTTTCTTTGTTGTAGTTATTCAATATGTCGACAAATAGAGGATGAATGTATAGAAAGAATGATGATCGAGGGGCTCTTAGCCGGACCTATGTCAGACACTTGGAAGGTTTTTTGGACATTGCTTATGCCAATGAAGATTATGTTGAAAGGACAACTACACATGATGGGATAGTGTTCCACATTAGATGTCCTTGCTCCAAGTGTCGAAAGGAAGCCTGTAGAGAAAGAGAAGACGTGAAACTACACTTGATGAAATATGGTTTCATGCCTGATTATATCATTTGGTGGGGACATGGTGAAACCTTTTCTTTACATGCATCTCATCAAGACGTGGGTCAATCTTCTAATCCTATAGTGGATCATAATGAAGGTTATTTTCAAATGGTGAACGATCACATGGTACATGATGCCATGACATGGGAAGAGCAAACACCTAATCCATCTACCCAAGGCTTTTATAACATGTTACAAACTGTTGACGAGCCTTTATGGGATGGATGTAAAACTTTTTCAAAATTAGGGGCTGCGACGAGTTTGTTGCATTGGAAGGCAGAATGTAATGTACCCGAGACAACATATAATAGAGTGTTTCCTATTTTTAAGCGTATGCTACCTGAGGGTGATAAATTACCCTGTAACTTCTATGAGATGAAGAAGAGTTTGGAAAATCTTGCTCTACCAAAACAAAAGATCGATGCTTGCAAAAACCATTGCATGTTATTTTACAAGCATGATTCTGGGTTGACCCACTGCAGAGTATGCGATGAAAGTCGTTACAAGACAAGTGGACGAAAAAAGGTCCCTAACTTGGTGTTGACGTACTTACTGATTGTTCCAAGACTCCAAAGATTGTATATGTCTCTAAAGATCGCGAAAGAGATGACTTGGCATTACGATCATCGGGTGAAACCGGGTGAAATGGTACATCCAAGTGATGGTGCGGCTTAGAAGCATTTCGACATGAGGGATCCTAACTTTGCTTCTAAGATCCGGAATGTTCGTCTTGGGTTATGCACCTACGATTTCAATCCGAATAATTTTACTTTGAATCCGTATTCACTATGGCCCGTCTTTATTACCATCTACAATCTACCTCCTTGGATGGCTTTGAAAGATTCGTATGTTGAGCTTGCATTGGTCATCCCTGGTAGAAAGAGCCCCGGTCAGAATTTGGATGTGTTTCTCAGGCCGCTAATAGATGATCTAAAAATGTTGTATACGGAGGGTGTTCTTACATATGATGTGTATCGTAAGAATAATTTCAAGATGAGGGCTATACTACTATGGACCATCAGCAACTTCCCAGCTTATGCAATGTTGTCGGGTTGGAGCACGCATGGCAAGTTAGCCTGCCCATATTGCATGGGGGAGGTGGATTCCTTCTAGTTAAAAAATGGAGGGAAATCATGTTGGTTTGATTGTCATCAGAGATGGTTACCTAGAACACACCCCTTCCGTCGTGATCGAAAAGGATTTATGGCAGGTAATAGGGTGTTAACTGGTCCACCACCTGAGGTAACCGGTGAAGAGATCTGGGAGTTCGTTCGTCACCTTCCAACTGTTTATGAGGGTATCCCATATAGTTCAAAAAATAGAAAAATTAGTGGGTTCGGAACCAATCATAATTGGGTAAAGAGAACATCTTTTGGGAGTTGCCATATTGGAAGACGTTGTTGATCCGACACAACCTCGATGTCATGCATATTGAGAAGAATGTTTTTGAGAATCTCTTTAACACCGTCATGGATACGTCAAAAACTAAAGACAATGTAAAGGCGAGAAGAGATGTAGAGGTTCATTGCGATCGACGGGATTTGCACATTGCCATGTCAGGCAACAAAGTAGTGAAACCAAAGTCATCGTACAGTTTGAGCAAACAACAAGTAAAACAAGTGTGTGCATGGTTGAAGAAGTTGAAGTTTCTAGACGGGTATGCTTCGAACATAGGGAGTTGTGTGAACCTAGAAGATTCTATCTTTTATAGCTTCAAGAGTCATGATTGTCATGTGTTTATGCAACGATTGCTTCCTATTGCTTTACGAGGGATGATACCAACTTCGATATGGGATGCAATAACGGAGTTGTGCACATTCTTCCATGTGATATGTTCAAGGGTGTTACACATAGATGACTTRGTTCCATTGCAAACAAGTATTGTTCAAACAATTTGCAAGTTGGAAAAGGTCTTTCCGTCCGGATTTTTTGATTCAATGGAACACCTCGTTATACATTTGACACGTGAAGCTATAAATGGTGGTCCGATCCAATATAGGTGGATGTATCTCTATGAAAGGTGAGTTCCTAATTTTATTGAAATATAGTACAATATATTCATATAAAAAACTCTTCTTGTCCCTAACATGTATTTCATCTCTTTAGGAAGCTTGGGTCGTTAAAGAGAACGGTTCGAAACAAAGTAAGGGTTGAGGGCTCTATCRTTGAGTCGTACCTTGTAAATGAACTTTCTACCTATTGCTCCCTCTATTTTGATCCAACAATAGAAACAAGACATAATCGTGAGTCAAGGAACTTTGCCACGAATATCCCGAGTTGTTCGGAGACCGATGATCGATTAAGCATATTCAAGGTTCCATCTCGTCCATAGATATGTCTTGTTCAACTGTGTAGAAGTTCAACCTTTCCAGACCACCTTTGATGAAAAGATTCGACAAACTGAACTGAATATTGATGATGTTGAACTTGATAGAATTCGGGAGGAGAGGTTTGCTGACTGGTTCTCGCACCACGTGAGTATATATATACCGGTCATTGGTATTAATATACAGAATGTAATGACGTACGTTATGTGTTTCTTACGTGTGACCTTCTTTTATAGGTCATGTTCGAGTTAAACGACTCAAATGAACAATTAAAATCCCTAACACGCAGACCGGGCCGTCATGCCACCATGCATCAGGGATACTTTGTGAATGGTTACAAGTTCCATACGGTGACCCATGGATCCGATCGAGTTACCCATAATAGTGGTATATGTGTAAGGGGGGCATGTTATGACGAGTGTGAGTCTGACTTCTATGGAATGTTAGATGAAGTTATAGAGGTGGAGTATTATGGCTCAGTGCGACAGGTGGAGTATTATGGCTCAGTGCGACAGGTGGTTGTCATGTTCAAATGCACTTGGTTTGATACTGCCTCGGGGGTTAGAGTTGACCCTAAACACAATTTGGTAGATATCAAATATAAGTCTAGATTTGGATCCGACGACCCGTTCGTTCTAGCATCACARGCAGAACAAGTCTATTATACTTCATATCCTTCGATGACAAAGGATTTGAAAGATTGGTGGGCAGTTGTCAAGACAAAGGCTCGTGGCATATATGAAGTGTCCGACATGATTAATGATGTTGAAAACAATGATCATGTGGATGGAGAACAATTCTTTCAAGTCAACGAAAGGGTAACTCATACAACGTTCTCATTGGAAAACGAGCTCGATGATGTTTATCTTGCCACAGGGGAGGTAAACATACTCCATAATATAAATAAAGATGAAGGTGGCGACAAATCGAACGAAGAAAGCGAAGATGAACCAGAATTTGAAGACATAGATGATGATTCAAATGATGAAKATKAACCGATGTTATCTGATCATTCTTCTGATGAGTAGCTTGTCTTCTGTATGCTTATTTTACAGTTATACATATATAATCGCGATTTGTCATTATCTTTTTTCATGATATAATCTAATGTTTGTTTTTTCAGGATATGTCACGCCGAGAGCGTGGTAGAGGCTGTCATGGGAGTCGTGGCATCCCCATGTCTGGTAGGGGTAGCAATTCTGCCCGCGCCGATGACATTGTAGAGTTTCCGGACACCGGTTTTCACGGTTTAGATGAGCAAGAGGTGGCCATGGAGCCCCCAGCTTCGACAGGTTCGGGTTCGGGGAGAGGTCGAAACATAGAGATGTCGACACGGAGTCATCCGAGCCACCGAAGACATCTGTCTTTGTTAGGCCATGGGTAAGTAGTTGTGGTATAAGACTTTGTATTACATAATAAAATAATATGAATGTCTTTGTGTTGTAAATATTTGTTTAATTGTACAGGTTTAAAGATGCCCATGTTATCCGAGAGATGACAACTATCTTCAGGTCTTCTTTTGCTGGTATGTGGCATAGATGGAAGGAAGTACCTCAGGAAGCACGTGACTTGATGTTCCAGCCCTTTAGGGTTAGTGTACCATTTTAATGTAATTATACATATAAGGTTATTGTTTTTACATTTATACAAACATTTTGTATGTAGGCTAAGTTCCAGTGGGAACCTGAGCTGGATGATATGGTTCATGATTTATGGACCAAAGCCATGCACAACAGGTACTCTGACTGGATGAGCTCTACACGCGACTAGGCCATGGCACAGGCCTATCCTGGTGATCAGCAATGGGATGGTGAGGACTTCTCATGGAGTAGATTACACCATCCCATATGGATACCAGACAGGTTTTGGCTGCAGATGATTGACATAGTATGTATCTCTATTGTGAGCTTTTCGAACTGCCAGGTGTACCACCTTTCGTCTTATATATGTGCTCTGTTTTTAACAGGTTTGGGATACCGAGGCTTGGAAAAGAAAATCCAAGATCAATCGGGCCAATCGGAACACCCAGTTTGAGGGGGTGTCGTCCAGACACACTGGGGGCTCGATTAGTACTGCACAACATCAAGACAGGATGGTGAGTATATAATCTTTTTTGAAAATGTAATTCGTTCTTTATGTTAGTAACAACTTAACTAATTGTCGAATGTAGGCACAAGTAATGGATCGTGAGCCAACTGCTACTGAGGTATTTGAGCGTACTCACTGCACGAACCAGAAGTTCGATCAAGTTTCGTCCGACCCGCCTACCAATCCTCCTCAGTTCAGTTATCCCAAAGCTGCTAGATATCATGTAAGTTTTCTAAAACCATTACTTTGGTTAATAGATACGTTTGGTAGGTTTAAGGTAATATATTTCAACAAACATAGTGATGCTATTAGTTTGGGCTGCCATTGTTGGGCAGACGTTAGGCTAAGTAAGTAGGTTGAGAATGTGACTTCGAACATTGGTATTATTAGAATGCTTAGTTGTTAAATASATRCATTGRTTATRYTTGATTTACAGTCGTTATGCTGCTGAAATATCTACATACATAACCTCACCCGCTTTTGTTTTGGTGAACCATAGGAGCGATTTCAATCACTTAGGGGTGAGTCACAATCTAGTACCGACAGCCCTTTCCCTGATGAGGCATCTCTTTGGGAGCAAAGTGTCGGAGTGCGGAGGAAAGGCCGAATATTTGGTTTCGGGACCACCCAGGATCCCTCTTATGCTATGACGGGTAGATGTAGCAGTAGCGGGTCATCATACTAGTCAAGAGCGGAGGTWCGTTGGTTATATTGTTATAAACTTTCTCATTACTAAAATTGCGAACAAATTACTGACTTTGTCGAATATTGAATATTTACAGGTAACAGAGTTGAGAGAGAAGTTGGCAAGGGTAGGAGAGGAACTGGAAACCGAACGGAAGAATATGGCAGATTTGGAGGCCGAATAGGCCAGACAAGCTGCTGCATTAGCCCAACAGGCCGCATTATCCGACCATTTTGCTACGTTTATACGGCAGTCAGGATACGTTTTCCCACCTCCGACACCTTCCGATAGTTAGATTGTATGTATTTGAAGATTAAATTGTATGAATTGAATATTTTAAATTGTATGAATCCATATTTTAAATCGTATGAATTGGTAAGTTAAAATGTTATATTATTATTTTCAGTTTTTTTATAAATAGATACAGGAATTATGCAATTTCAAAAAATTTATTTTTTAAATTTATACAAATTAGCGACGGATTAGCAAGGGAAAATCCGTCGCTGAAAGTCCTTGAAAATTCCCTCGCAAATCCGTCGCTGAAAGTTCCCTCGCAAATCTGCCGCTGAAGGTTCCGTCGCAGATCCGTCGCTGAAAGTTTCGTCGCATATCCGTCGCTGGAAGTTTCCTCGCAGATCCGTCGCTGAAAGTTCCCTCGTAGATCCGTCGTTGAAATTTCCGTCGCAGATCCGTCGCAAAATACTTCCCTCGCTGTCAAAGACCTTCCAGCCTAGTGGTAAAAGGCATGGGCATGGCATAGTCATGAACCCGAGTTCGATCCCTGGGAGGGGATTGTTGGCGACATTTAAGTGGGGCCATGTTTAGCCTCCAAATTTGCCGGGGATTAGTCGGGCTTTGGCCCGGACACCCTTACAAAAAAAAATACTTCCCTCGCTGATCCGTCGTTGAAAGTATCCCTCGCAAATCCGTCGCTGATAGCATTACCTACGACTATTTGACCGACGGAGTATCAGCGACGGATCAGCGACAAATTACCTTTTCAGTGACGGATTTGCGAGGGATTTTTCCCTCGCTGATACTCTGCATTTTTGTAGTGACATTGTTGATTGATCTTATAAGCATATTGGCTCTCTCTCTCTCTCTCTCTCGCGCCAGGGGCCTGATCTCTGCCTCTATGTACGTTGTTCTTTATGAATCGCAGAGTTGAGTTTGAATACTTGAACCGTGGGTCGTCCTGGAAGAACACCTTCTCTCCTTGTTCATCGCGATAGACCACCCCTAGCTCTGGCTCCAATATTACCGTCCATGAGAGGATGTACTTAATGCCTTCAAGTTGATCGTTCGACGTTATGACACTAGGCTGATCGACCCCCATGTTCAGATCGATCTGGAAGTCCACCTTGCACCTGATGTCAAGTAGGTTAGTCAAAGTTGGCAAGAGCAAACTTCATCTTTTTGTCCTTCTTGTGATCAATATACAAGTACAGAGTAAGAAGATTCCAAGGGTTGAGGTTTATGAGATCGTAGTCTGTGAAGATGCTGATCTGACCCTGGGACTGTTCTATCATGTACTCATTGAAGACGGTCTGGTTATGCACCAAGGTTCTCTTCTTGATGTCAAGCACCTGCTTGATCCCGTCCATGAAGTGAACTTGGCTAACGGGTTGCATGTACTGACGAATGAACCTCTATCGAATGTATTCATGTGCCATTGGGTGTAAATTGATATTTTACTTGGGCGCTTCATCCCTCTAGCTGTACAGGAACTTGTAAATCTTCTTATTAGCATCAGAATCATCAATAGGATTTTCTTTAGAAATTTTCCTCATCATCGCATCCATCTGGTCCTTGATCTCTTGTACACGTTCTTGGAAAAGTTTGGAGCTCTGAGGCATGTTGTTGCTCGTTCTGCTTGTGCTTTCTCTGCCTTCGTGACTTGGCCTTGGTGAAGGTGGAACGACCCTCGTTCCTTGAACAGGAACTCTGGATCTGTGAGTCTAGTAGAGGTGGAACGACAACGGTTATCTTAGGAGGAAATGGTATGGCTATTGGAGGAGGCCTTGATGTTCTGGGTTGCTTCTCCTCTGGTTCTATGACATTCACCACCACCTCCTCTCTGTCTGTCTCCCTTGATGGAGCCGTCTCCATGAAAAACTCAGATGACGACGAGTAGGATTTGCTTGGTGAAGAGGCATAATGTCGATAAGAGTTGTAGTACAGAGTTCTCTCCTCCAAGTGTAGGCTCTGGCTCTGTGGTCTCCATCGTCTGATCTCGAGGGGTAGGCGCAACTTGAGGCGATGGAGTCTTGGCCAGTGTAGATGAAGAGGGGGTAGCTGCTGATTGTTGAGCTGTTAATTGTTGCGCTTGCTGCCTCTCCCCCTCTTGATGACTCTGAGGGCCAGACTGATCTGGGCCCTCATTGTCATCAAGCCTCCTCTTCTTCGAGGACTCTCCGCATGTAGAAGAAAGCTTGCGGAGCTTCCTTTTTTTCTTTTTTGGAGCACTATAGGGGGCATCGCCTTTATTTTTGCCTCGAAGAGCTCCACGAGGTCTACAGCCACCTGGGTGGCCTTGTTGATCTTCATACCAGCTCGGAACTTGAATGTGGCCAGCGAGCGTTGCATTTCTGCAGCAGCTTGCTTGGCTGTGTTATTGAAGTCTGATTTGAAATTGGCCACCTATTGGAGAAGTCTATCACCCAAACCCCTCATCTCCGTCTGGGTGATGTTGTCGACAGGCATGCTAAGAGGGACGAATGCTTGATCTTGTGTGGGCGCCTGGCTTGGTTGTACGTCCTCTCTCTGCATGAGATGAAGAACCATTTACAGGGCCTCATTTTGTCTTGCCCTCAGTTCCAAGAGTTGTTCGATATGAGAAGCATTCGTCGAGAAATCAACTCTCAATACTGCTATCGATGTCGAACTTTATCCAGAGCAGGTACAGATATAGATGGCTTTGCACAGGCCATGTTGAGTTTTAGATCTTCCAAGGAGCACAACACAGAGGTGGAAAAGGAGTGGAACTCATCCTTTGTCACGTATGTCGTAAGGGTAACCTCTGGCTCAACACATAGGCTAGAGTTAGTCCTTATTCCAAGGATACCTTCGTTCACATCTTGATTGATGTTGGACGAGGAAGGATTTCCAGCCAATCCTCGTGCCTCTCTTTGAGAAGAAGACACTACAGCTGTTCTGTCAAGAGGAGCACTTTCACCATATTCAGAGTCTAATGGAAGGTCCTCATTGAGTGGACCTGGAGACCTGGAGAGGGTCCGTAAGTCTTGTGCACCTAGGCCTTGTTCTGAACAAGGTGGGGAATGAGCTAGTGTAAAGGAAATGAATTCTTATATAGGGGATGGAAGCGTGGCATGGGAAAACATGCCACTTGATGTTTCAGAGGATTCATCCTTTTGAGAGGATGAACTCTGAGTTGTGGGTTCCCTTTGGCTTTCATAGCCTGAGGCAGAAGCGATCTCTGGCTGGCTAGGCTGGTTAGGGTTTGAGGCGTGTACCTCTTATTCAATTACTCTTGTTGCTCAACCAACTGAGTCAGATGGAGTATTTTGCACTGGGAGTTGGGCTGGGGAAATAAATGTGCCTACTCCTAAACCTTCCTTACTCTGGCTCTCCCTGAACCAGAGCATCTCTACCCTCATCCCCATCTTTGCCACCAGAGCTCTCAGAATCAAAGCTCTCTTTCTCATCTTCTTCTTCTTCAGAGCTCTCTGTGTCAGAACTTGAAGTTTGTTTTTGTTGTAGCCTTTTTGGCTGCTTCCTTCTCTCTCTTCTTTTCATCCCTCTTTCTTCTTTTCAACTTCTTCTCTCTCTCTTTCTTTTCCTGTTCCCTCTCATTCTTTTTCTGGGCTTTTCCAACATACCACTCCTTCTCTGTTTCCCTCTCATTTACCTCTAGATCCCTCTCTACCTCCCCTCCTTATGTTGATTCTCCTATGCGTGTCAGGCTTCGAGTCACTGGTTCTAGTGACTCGCGTACACGTCTATACGCTCTCTTTACTCCCTCGTCCTGATGTACGCGATCAAATTCTTGGGAATGGGCCTCTTTGCAGGGTAGCCATCCTTGTGCAGAGTAGGTTTGTAGGTAGAGAGAAAGTTAATTTTGGCGATCAGGTATGCAGAGTATTGGACGTTCTGCTTCTCTAGGCTAGGCCTTAGGAGAAGGCATAGGAAACGTGAGAAAAGTAGTGCTGGAAAGTTCTTGCCTTTGGAGACGTCTAGGGTCTTCGTGGCCACGGCCACCTTGAACTCTGTATAGAGAATGAGCGAGTAGTTGAGCGGCAGGTCGAAGAAAATCCCGTAAATGAGCTGTAGGATGTTGGTGGAGCACATGTCATGCTCCATATCTTGACGGTTAGGGAACGGTTCACCAATGTGAAGATGATGTTCCACATTGGTGGCAGGAACTGGCATCTGAACTGTGATGGGGACCTTATCTGTTGGTTGTACCCTAACATCTTCAAGAAACTCACCAACTCTTCCCCGGTTGGTAGAGGCGCGTACCATTGAGAAAATGGCCAAACCAAGATCAGTCTTGGTTGGGACTTGAAGGACCATTGAGAAAATGGACCTGGAGATTCTCACATTGCATTATTCTTAGCGGTCAGGGAGGTAATATTCTCCTAGGATTCCCTTTTCATTAGCCATAACTTCGCATGACTGCCAGTATTCTTGGATGAAGCGCTCAGGAACAACATCATCCACATTTGTTAGGGTAGGGTTGAGGAAGTGTTGATGGAGAATATCAACCACGAGATGTCCTAAGTTGAGGACAGGACCGAGGAGCAACATCAGTGGAAGTCAAGGAAGTCGCACCAATTCAGTGAGTCAGGGAATGCAAGCTCGAGGAAGGGCTTTTGTGATTGGAGCTGAAGAGGCACGTCAGGATCCCAATGTGGTAACCGGTACGTTTCTTTTAAACGACCATTATGCATTGGTGATTTTTGACTCTGGTGCCGATAGAAGTTTTGTTTCCTTAGACTTTAGGCCCCTAATTCACTTAAACTCTAAAAGACTAGATGAAG